AGCTTTCAAAATAACTGGCACGCTCTGTTTCTTTCCTCTTGCCCTATTTCTGCTTCTGCCCCTTCTCCTTCCCATATGTGGTAAAAGCAGCAGCCCTGTCTACAGCCCCTATGAAATATACAAGTGAGGTTCTTTACAGTTTAATTCATCATTAGCATATTTAAATCTGCAAAAATACTGGAAGGATATGTAATTCTACTTCTCTGTACATCATACCATTTCGGTATGTCCACCACAAAAAGAGTTGCGCTGATTGTATGCAAATCTGGTTTGCAGCACCTGGCACGCTTCATTCAAAAACCACAACAGCCCCACAAAAAACCCTACCTTTATCTCGGTTGCCCCATTGACTTTCCTGCCAGTAACTGTTCTGGAGCGGCAGCCGACATTTAATATTTATGTTCACTTACATATTAATAATTAGTGCTGATTTACCCAAGGGAAATGGCTGACATGAATAGAGGAGTAACTGTTTTACATTATAATCTTGCGAGAATAGATGATGGGTCAGAAGAAACTTGATATGTCTGAGTACGAACTAATTCACTCAGGAGAAATTACTTCAAACCAGACTCAAAGTGGCAGCGAAGTGGGTTAGGGAGTATGCAGATGTACCACATCAGTGTCTGCAAAAAGAACGGGGTGGTGCACCATGCACAAACAGTTCAGGAAACTAACTGGAAGATGATGTGTTTCAAGAGAAGACCATAGGAGCACGACATCTATACATTAGCCTCTATTTTGGGTACAGTATTCAATTCTGCATACCTGACTTAGGAAAAACAAAACTCAGATTGCAGCAAAGAATCACAATACTTGATGGAACAAAAAAGTTGTTAAATGTAACAAACTAGATTTGTAACTCTTAACATTGGATATTAAAAATTATATACCTATTATTTAAGTACTTGCTATTTATATAATTGTTACATACTTGATGTTACCTACCTATTCTGAACCTCTGGAGTCTGAGTTTGTAGGCGCTATAAAATGTTAAAAAAAAAAAGAACAAAAAAGTTAACAAAAAAGTTAAGGACTTTTCATTAACGTTATGTACTGAAGTAACGTGACTACCAGGAATCTAGCAAATTAACATCAGGAATTTTAGTCTGCCACTTTGGGAGTTAGCAGGGTGTATCCATTGTTATTATTGATTACATGTTGTAAGAAAAAATACATTTTAATTTCCAGAGCATGCAGGATGCCATCACTTACATAAATGAAAAGCTGGTGGCCACTGTCTGGTCCCTCATACCCGTGCATTGGAAAGGGGTGCCCAGGGAAGTGGTCGAGTCCCCATCCCTGGAGGTATTTAAAAGACGGGCAGACGAGGTGCTAGGGACATGTTTTTGTGGTGGGATGGCAGGGTTAGGTTAATGGTTGGACTTGATGATCTTAAAGGTCTTTTCCAACCTAAACGATTCTATGATTCTATGAACTGGCTGTTATGTATTGGGCAGGTTGGCTAGGGCTGTTTTCTGATTCACAAACCACACCTGACAGCTTTGATGGTTCTGTGGATTTTCCTTTTCTTTCTGGACGAGTCGGGTTGTGGAGGCCTCATGGCTGTGTTGGGAAGTCACTTATTTTCTCTTAATTTCCACTGTAAGGCTCTGAGGAAACATGACTACGCTGTGGTAGGATGGAGTAGTAGTTCTAAAGATAAATAGACTTAATTTTTGAAAGAGCGGGGAAATCTCATTAACTACCAACAAAGGTAAGGAGGAAGAGTATGCGGACAAGTGCTTTCTGGTCAGCTAGTAAATCACTCAAATGCAAGCTGACTCCTAAACTGCACTTTTTGTGGGCATTGTAGTGACTGAGATCAGAGATCACCCTCAGGGGTGCTTCGGAGTAAGAGCACAGGCCGTGCCGCCCTCCCTCATGCTGACCCTGAGCTTCTCCCTCACAGCGGAGGAAGGGGCTCTGACCATGGCTCCCGGCAGGGCTTCCCACTGTTCTTCTGCTGGCGGTGCACTGGCTGCTGCAAGGTAGCACTCACTGTAATTACAGTTGGACTCAATGATCTTAAAGATCTCTATTCCAACCTGTGTGATTCCACGATTAATTAAAAAAATAATTAAAAACCACAAAAAAAAACCCGTCGCAAAAAACCGTAACCACAAAGCACTCAGCAACCTGCAATGGCAAAACTTCCAAGGCAAGCGGGAAAAGAATCAACTAACGCTTCCTCTACGAACGACACCGCCTTTCGTTCCAGCCT